ATTTAGGAGAAAATCGACTGAGCTGTTTAGACCCCAGCATTGACCACAGATTGGACAATCGGACGGACGTTTTGTCGTCAATCTATTTTTTGGTATCGGGGATCCACATAACATGGATTCTGACTACTCAGTGTGTCAGAGGAAGTAATTTTGTTTCTATGGAAACGAAATTTACCTGCTTTTTCTTTACCCCGGCCCGGTAATAAAGAGTTTTTCTATCGGAAACGTGCCGAACGTACGATTACAAAACGTTCTCTTCTTACGAAGTAAGGGCAAGGTAGTAAAAAGCGAAGTAACATCGTTCCATGACGAACTCTTCCTAAACGACGAACAGCTGCCATAAGTGGTGTTACTAAGGAGAGAGTGTGTTCAAGACTATTGTCTTTTCGGGCTATCTCTCTCAAACAACTTCTAGGATTTGAATAAAATTTCGAAAAAAAATTTTAAAAGATTTTTATTATTCCGAATACGTACGTATATACGGAGTAATATACTTAGTATAAGGAAAGTTATGTAATGTTGCAGAAAATCGATTTCGAGATTTCAACGGAAATACACGTTTTGGGGTCCCTTGATTCCGAAAAGTTATTTTCAAAACGTCCGTCTGTGAGCGCTACTAGCTCCTAAACCCTACGTAGGATGTTTTTCAAATTGAATAAACACATGTCCATCTGGCTAGAGTCGAATCTTTGAGATTTTGAAAAACTTGCTTTAAAATGGACATTTTCAAAATTTTCTCAAATGGATGGCTCCAAATTTTTTTTGGAACATTCTTGTACGAATAGAGTAACATTCCCTTATAATGGTGGCATATGTGTGATTTTCAGGTTTAACTGAATTTGCGAAAATTTTAAATTTTTCGGTCGTCTTCATACTACTACAAAATTGAAGATAGATTTTTCCTTCAAATAAAATTTGTTCTCCATTATTTCATTAGGGTCATGTAAATTTAAAAAAAAAATGTAATTTTCGAGCAATATTGCGTGCAATATTTGCAATTAAAAAAATACAAAAACAAGATTTTGTCCATAACGGCTCCAAATTTTCCTTTAAACTGTTGGTAAGGAAAGTACTAAATGAGCTCTATAAGATGACATATACGACACATTGTACTATTCTTTTGTTTTTTCAAAAATTAAAAAAAATGCATTTTTACTGGTCTCGCAAGTCATTAATATTTACATTAGCGGCAATTTGTTTACATCAATGGGTTTATGAGTACAAGTGCTTTTAGTAATGTCTGATAAAGTTTATCGAAAGCTCAAGTTTTCCATGAAAATTAGCTCAAAATTCCGCATCCGACATTATTTCCAAGAGCTTCCACCAATTCCCCGTGCCATTCTAGGTCATTTCTCTCATGCAGAACTATCTTAGAGTAAGAGCGCTGCTCGAAACATGTTACATTCATTTCGGACGGCGGTAGTCTGTCAATTGATTTCACGTTGTTCTCTGTGCTAATGGAGACACAGTCATCTGTTAATCTGAACCCACCCAGCTTCTGCTTTTATTTCACTAGAAATGAAATTTTGCGATTCGATAACACATCTTTTAGAAAACAAATAGTTGTAATCATTTCTGCCGCAACCCTCGTATTTACTAAGCAATGTCTGGATATAAAATCTCCATCAAGAATATGTGCATTCACGAAAAATTAACTAATAGTTGTTTGTAAACTCAATTGGATACTCCAGAAGAAATTTTGGTAGATTGTCTAGATGTAAGAAGAAAACCCCTGTTTTTCTTATAGGGCCTATAACGGGTGCTGTGATAGTTGCTTGATCAGAATTTCTGATCAGAAAATCTTTATAAACTAACCAGTTCGTGTCAGTTCCTTCCAAGGAAACCGGATCAGCTCCCGGTTGAATCTGAAAAAGGAAGCCTACGCTTTTTCAGAGGGAAGTGATAACCATGATAGGATTGTTCAAAGAATCTCTATCACCGATCACTTTTGACTAGTATTAGTTACTTTTTCTTTTTAAGAACTCCCGATGGTAATTACTAGTTTTAGTAATGTGCATTTCAAGGAATCACAATCACATCTGACGTTGTTTTGGTCGGTTTCCCTGTCAAGAAATTCTGATCAGATTACATAACTGTAATTGGTTACTCGTAAGAACACTAATCAGAATTAACTGGTTTTAATCAGTTCGCCCACTAAGGAACCCCGATGAAATATAACTGGTTTCATTGACAGCCAATGATAGATTTATTCATTAGTTTTTGTAATAATACTAATTAATAATACTAATTTGGGTTGTATGAAACTTGTCACTTCAAGAGAACTTCACTTCTGATGGAAATGGAATATTCAGTTTTTTCCTGTACCAACCTCATTGGGTTTTCCCATCCTGATATGTTCAAAACTGAACGAATTTATTTTTTGCCAATTGGTTACCCCATCCTTACCATCTAGAATATATCGAAATTTCCCTGCACCAACCCTATGTGATATTTTTATCGTGACATCCCTACAAAACATTTTCTCTCCGATACTCCATGGGGATTTCCTGTATGGCATGTTTAAAACTGATCAGATTTTTCCTACGTGGGTTTTGTTATCTGATCTACGCCATATTAATCGAATTTTCTGTTTGAGGTTTCCCTACAGCGACCTGTGTAAAACTGACTTGATATTGCCCCGACCCGTATGGACTGATCTGATCACATACAGTCACCCTATTGAGCTTTTCCTGTTGTCATCGATGTAGAACGGATAGGACTTTCCTTGCGGCGCCTTGTGAGGATTGCCTTATTTCGAGCAATCTAGAAGTAATCGGGTTTTTCTTGAACCTGTCCTATTGGGGTTTTCCGTCTTGCGACCTACCTAGATCTGATCAGATTTTCCACCCGGTCGCCCTATTACGCTTTCTTTTCGTGGGCCTAGAAATCATCGTATTTTCCTTGAGGTAGCCCTTTGAGGCTTCCCTCATAGCGGCCTATCTAGAACAGATAACCCTATGAGGCTTTCTCAATTTCCATTTATGTATAACTGAGATGATTTTCTGTGCGGCAATCCTACTATGCTCCTCCGTATGCAACAAGACATCCGTATTTGCGTTTCCCTATTGCTGCCTACCTAGAATTGACATTATGGTGTGGTTCTCCCTAATCGGGTATTCTCTCTAAATTTTCAACGATGCACGACTTCTGAATGGGAATTCCCCATCAAATTTCTATTAGAGTTGTAGTGGATATAATTTGATTTCCTTTTTGTTTCTAAAAGCGTGCGATTTAAGTTCCTAAAGTCGGCATGCGTTAATTTGAAATCCACCACATGCGTTTTCGTAGGTAAAATCCTCTTCGCAACGGCTTCGCGGCCCCCTGCATGCCGGAGAGCCAACAATGCGCACAGGAACAGTCGGTCCAAGCGAGTTGTTTACTTTTATCGGATGAATGAGGGAGAGTTCACGTGTCCGCTACCTTGCAGAGTTAATTTTCAAAGAAACGTTTTTTTTTTTAATTGCTGCATGAGAGCTTGAAAATACAATGTTTACATTGGCTACTTACTTTAAGGAGTGCATGATGCACGCTGAAGGTACAGTGCTTGTACATAGTGGGTGAGGTTTTCTAACCTCCCTTTTTGTAGTTTTTAGTAGAATACTTACGTGGTGAATTCTTAGGTCACACCCCTTAAGAGCCAGACAATGCGCGGTGTCTTGCAATATGATTGTCTTGGCAACCCTGTTTGCAATGAAATATACTTGGCTGCATACACGAAGAGAATATGTAGAATGTTGATAATTTAATTGAAATGTAAGTCATGAAAAAATCTTATTTTAGCGTTTCCTGCGATAAGCATTTACACTAGCTGCAAAGATCACTTCATTGCCGACAAGCGTTCACCTCTCCCCGTTGCGATCTCCGTGTCTATGGTTTTGGGGAAGTAAAGTTGTAGGTACATGCCGTCCTGCATCGTCAAGCATTATACTGAGACTGCTGGTTGAAAGTTCGTTGTAGGCGAACTTGCTTAGAATTTTTTGCATCAGTAAAACTATTATACGATAATTCATACAGTCGCCACTAACGACATCAACTACCGTTTAACTGCCAATACAAAATAATTCTAAAGGAATAAACCGGCTGAGGAAACCGTGAAATCTCAGGCCAAGACTCAATCTCGGGGTGTAACAAAACGAACCATCCCTTCATTTATTAACCTAAATTCGGTACTAGCATCCACCTGTTAACAGTGTTGAAATGATTGGATGTAATAAAATAGTGTTGCTACAACAGCGCACACTTTTTCGCATTGTTTTTCAATTTGCCATTTTCGAAAATTCAGAGCGTTCAATGCTCTTTTAAGATTTCCTTCCTTGGAAAAAAATTAAAGAAAAAATGGATTGTTAAAAAAAGTTATAAATACCGCAAATTACACCAAAACAAGTTTTCAAAAATTTGTATATGACGTATTTTGAACTGATTTTTTACAGCAGACTATCTATTGACTGAGACGACAATCTTCCATTATTATTGTTGTAGGAAGTCGCACTTCCCAAAAAAATCCGCTATTACATTTTTTTAAAAATCTTAATTCAACGGACATGTGACCTGCTCCTTTCTCGTAAGTGTCCTTCACACCTATCGGAGGACAAATTTTAATAAAAAAATGGAGCCAGTTTTGAGAAACTTGTGAAAAGGTTGTTGAGGATTCGTGTAAAGTACCTTAAAAAACAAAATATCCGTTTGAAACTCCCCAAAGCCTCGAGTTCATTCTGATCGATCTGAGAATAGCAATCTTTCGTGGAGATCGGTCACGCGGTGTCAGAGTTCACTGCTCTTGTATATACCAACATTCATATGTGTGTGTTACACCCAAAATACTGAAGTACTGTTGACAATGATAATCATTATTTTTTTCAACAGATCTCTAAGATTTCGTCAAATAATCAATATCGAGCAAATGTAAAATAAATCTTAACGTTATTGTTTCTTGGTATGTTGCAAGTTGTTCGTGAAACTTTATTGTGTCAGTTATTATTTTGCTGTTGTTGTTGTTTCAGGTGGACTGTGTAATAGGAATTAATCATGTCCCACCACAGCGATGACAACATGCTGATAGCGACGAGCGACTCCTTCTGGGAGCCAGGCAACTACAAGCGTACCACCAAGAGGATCGAGGACGGCTACAAACTGTGCAACGACCTCATGCAGCTGATCCAAGAGCGAGCGGACATCGAGAAGGCGTATGCCAAGAGTCTCAAAGGCTGGTCCAAGAAGTGGAACGACCTCATAGAGAAGGGTGAGGCCTTAAAACCTGTCCTTCCTCTCAAATTCAGAAGAGGACAGAAGACAGAGAACGGGAAAACCAACTCAACATTTTGATTTAAAACTATATAATTTCAACGTTTCATTTAAAATAAAATACACGCTACGATTATCCTTTACAACTTGTACACAAACGAGGTTACAACATGTACATGGTTCCTTTGGTATCCTTTACTGCATGTACACGGTTCTTCTTAACCTAAAGGACTACATTATGCAAGATTCTCTCAGCAACAGTGTAGCTGGAATAATAGAAATAGGATACAATATAATTGTCAATTATCCTAATTCGCGCTGTAGGGTAAAAAGGGTCAGTAAACTTGATTTCTTCTTAAAATTACTCATTATTTCCAAAGATTGATTTGTGATTTTGTTGCACTGAAATAGTGAAACGTAATAAACATGGTATTGTCGTGATGAACTGCTGCACTGTTTCTCCAAATAATTAATCTATTTAATTGATCATAAATAGCATTATACAGCCATCGTTTGACCCTTTTGTGTATCTAACTACTTTTTTATCCGTAATGTGTTAAATTTTAATCCTGACTATTGTACAATTAACGTGACATCGTCGCTCTGCACTGATTATTTGTAGGCCCCGAGTATGGTACGACGGAAGCGGCGTGGAAGGGTGTGTTAGTAGAATCGGATAGATTATGTGATTTACACTTGAAAGTTAAAGATAATCTTTGTAACGATGTTATGCAGCAAGTAAAAACATGGCAAAAGGACACGTATCACAAGGTATGTATATTGGGACGTAAGGTTATGTTTTCAGAACAATCGATAACGTTTGTTTTTGTGTGTTTTTCAGATGTACTTATTCTTTGTGATTTTGTGCTTCAGAGTATGATGCAGATAAAGGAGCGAAAAGAAATGGAAGACTCTTTTAAAAAAGCCCAGAAGCCTTGGTCGAAACTGTTGGCGAAAGTAAACAAAGCCAAAGTGGACTACCACACCTCCTGCAAGACGGAAAAATCCGCCTCCAATCAAGAGAGAAACGCCTCGGCTGACAGTTCGCTCTCGCCTGACCAGGTAGGCTTTTCGGCTCAGAGATGAAGTAAGAGCACATTTAATGCTATTTGAGTAATACTTGAGTGCGTATAATATGTGTGGAAGTATAGCTTACTAGTCGCGCACTTTTTCTTGCCACTCAGGACCGCAGCACGGTACGTCCAGACCCCCGTGTAGTTTTACATCTAGTTTCCTGAACGGGCCGTGCTGAGCTGCGCAGAACCGAGTATCAAGAAAAAGTGCGGACCAGTACACGATCACATCCCACAAACACACACGCACATGCGCTCACACTCTCGCATACACACAAGCACATCACACTCACACACATTATCACACAAGCACATCACACTCGTACGCAATATCACACACTCGCACACAATATCACACACTCGCACGCAATATCACACACTCGCACGCAATATCACACACTTGCACGCAATATCACACACTCGCACGCAATATCACACACTCGCACGCAATATCACACACTCGCACGCATGTCCAGCCAATCTCTTACACACACAACATCACTCTCTCTCTCGCCACACAATGCTCACAATTACATCTCAGCGCAATTACGAGTAGCATTACATTACGACAACGAACGCGCCGCGCACGCGCGGCGCCCACCAACCAACACACACACACACTACACTCACACACACACAACACGCGCACACACACACACGCGCACAGCACACACACGGACACACACACGCTGCGCGCACACACACGCGCGCACACACACGCGCGACACACACAACGCGCAGACAAGCACACGACGCGCGACACACACACGCGCACACACACACAGGCACACACAGCACACAGCACACACACAGACTCACTTCTGTTCACATTAGCAGGTTTAACTGATCAAAAATTTATACTCTCCAAATGTATATTTTTTTTCCTTTTCAGAAAGCGGCTTTGGTAAGCACATTTACATTTCAGTAGCGTGTATGAGCAACTCTCAATATTGCCAGTGACAAAAGTATGTTATATAAATAGTTGAGTGCCAAAAGTATGTTGCTTGTTTGTGATACTAACATTGCAGTAACTTTCATAATGCAAAAGTTGTCTATTTCCTATGTCAATCACTTTAAACTTTTCCATGGAATTGAATAGACCTTGTAGTGTCAGCTAACATGTGGGTAGAGTAGTAATAAGCAAATATATATTTGATTACGTTTCCAAAAAATGAAATATTTTCTTTCATGAGCAGCTTCAAGCTAATGGTATTAATATATTCTTTATTAATACTAATGCATGTTGTGATGTTAGTTTAACCAATGCGTAATGTTAAATTTAATCGTTGAATATCAAAAGATGGAAGTTCTTTATTATTTAAGAATGATCAATGTTAATTTCTCTTTTTGTTAACTTTAACATTGAATTGTAAAAGAAGAATGTGTACATGTGTGTACCTAATAATAGTGTGTGTTTTGAACAGACACTTCCAAAATGCAACTCACCTTCAAATAACTGTAAACCTGACGTATTAGCACAAACCATTCCTCATGTGTCAAATCATAGTAGGATTTATTTAGAGCTGCAAATGCAGCTCTGGATCAGCTGTTGACGGTTTCATCCAATTGGGAACTTGAGAGCTATTTTAACAAATGTTTCACTTAAAAAGTGTTCTTAGTTTTCCCATCATGGGGTGGGGTAATTGCCTGCCCTTATCCACCTCCAACCTGCATAGATATGCGGGAGGTGGGGGGGGGGGAGTTGGCAGTGTTGAATTTCCTAGGGAGCAATGGTCCCTTTTTTTAATGGAGCTAAATCAAAATTAAACTAGTTCTAAAACATAACATACTTTCGTGCATTATTTGCACCACATCAAACATACAAGCAAGAATAATTTCTCAAATAGATTGAATTTCCATTACTGTAGGCCATCCAATATATCGCATTATGAATGCATTCAAAACAATGGTTTCATTACCTTATGCATATCAGTTTATGTATATTCTTTCATATTTTATTAAAGCTCAATATACCATTTTATTGAACGTAGAGCCACTGTAACGTTAAATGTTAAGTAAATTAAGCTGTCTTTTGTTATCTCTCTCTCCCATCCATGTCGCCAACCTTAAACTCCTCGCAATATATTCTCATATATCCATCGCTGCATAGTATGGCAATGATGCATAAGATAGTAATTTCTAATTATTGCAATAAACAGTGTAAATTATGGTATTCAAATATTATTTCATGTTACATTTAAATAGTATTTTAAGAGAATCTAATTGGGCTAATTTTAATTAACTCAAAGAGACTTGAAGATTCATAACTGGATTTAACTACTAGCAAAACAAGCAGTCTTGGGAAACCCCATCCATGAGGGGGTCCATGCTTTGGAAAAATATGCATAACCTATTTTTGTGTCTGTAAAATAATTGTTACTAAAATAGTCGGTTGTACTAGAAAATTTGTATTTAAAATTTCAGTGTAAAAAAAAAAAAATTGATAATGCTAAAATAGTCTAATATGAACTATGTTATTTTATTATTTGCAAATGATTGTGTAAATTGTTTATGGAAACCTCCAAATTTTCCATGTTCAAATTGACAGTGATAGAGCAATAGTGAGTGGAGCGCAAAGTGGAGGTTTAACGTTCGGGCCTGCAATGGCCAATGTGGATGGGGCCAGGTAAAACAGGGCTTATTTTTAGAGGATATTTTTATTATTTATGCTACTAAACTACTTCTAAACAATTGTATGTGACCTGTTTTAAAGAACTGATTTTTTAGAACAGATTTCATGTAACGAAAAAATCTTTTGTCATAGATGTTGGTCTTTTGCAGTAGTTAATTGTGTGTAAGCAATTTGCAAAAATGAGAGTGTGTGCCGAAAATGACACCAGCATAACTTTCTTTACAGGCCTTTGCTATATACCATTTAATAATAAAAAAGAGCTGGTTTTGAGAAACGCAGCTACTGTGTACTGTGTAAGCAGTAGTGAGAAAGTAAAAATAATATGTGATTGAATTAATTTATTACACAAACCTGGCAACATTTTCATACACCATATCACATTCTCAGAGTGACAAAGTTCTGAAATTTTGCCAAAATTATGTTTGTCATGTTCAAGCTCTCTGTTAGACATATCACATATTAAAACAGTTTTCAAATCATACATGTAGAAAATATTCAATGAACAAAATGTCATAACGTTTTATTAATAGACGTTTGCAACAGTGGCAGCTCTTCGCGGGTTTCTTAATAGGAGAGGAAAAATTCCTAATATGACTTCATCAACCAAAAATTCAACAAATTAGGGGGATGTCATTTAAATAGATGATGATCATTTAAATAGAGGTACAATGTCAATTAAAGAGAACCAAAACATATCAGTCTTGCTTAAAGTGTTCATTGTAGTTTCCACAATTGGCTGCTTTACTCACTGTTAGATCATTGCAATATTAATCTTTTAACAAAAGTATTCATTCTAACGATCATAATTTTTCCTGCCTTTGATTTCTACAATATAAATTTTTAATATCACTTAAACCAGCACAAATTAAACTTCCCTCAAATTTTTTAACCACATTGTGTAAAACTGCAGTTTCTCTCCCTTGCCGGTGCCACATAGTGTTGGAGTTGAACGTCATTTCTATACAACAGCAGTCTGTTCTTCTAAATGCTTTCTGACTTTTCTAAATTGTATAAAAAAAAATATAGGAAACAAGCTCAGAATGGCAGCACCTGCTGGCTTTGTCATCACATGATATGAATTTGGTTGTGAAGGGAGTCCAACTAGAAAACACTTTCTTTAGGCAACCTTCACTATCTGATTATCAAAATGCTTTGCTATCAAAATGCAAAATTATATGCTTAGTGTGGGTGTATGTATATATGTGTGGGTATATGTGTGTATATATGTGTGGGTATATGTGTGTACATATGTATGTATACAACTGTACAAGGAACTGTACAAGGAACATAACTTATTTTACGTAGTGCATAAATGCATAATGCTGGACGATTTTATGCTGTAGATAATAATTTATTGATGTATTCTTCTTTAATGTCATTTTCATGTTTTATGTTATTTTATTCATATAGTACACAAAGTGAAACATAGTTAGAAATCATTACTGATCAAAAAATCGGTGCTCATTTCAATCAAACAGATCTATGTTTTATGGAATGAAGTTTACCATTGTAAGAAATGGTCTGCTTGTCTTAGAAGAGAAGTCAGTGAAGAAAAAACAATATTTCGAGAAAATTATGTTTAGACTTCTATTGATTTCTCGTGATTTGCAATTAACTGATCTGATGAATAAGAAACTCCAAAGAATTATTTCAAAGCAGAGATATGACAAGAGTGGTAGGAAGAAGATGGACAACTGACAATGGATATTCGACAGAATAGAGCGTCCCACAAACAAATCAGAATCTACTTTTAGATCAAAATTGATAGTGCAGCCCCCTCATGGATGTAACAATATCAATACACACTGAACCAACATCTTATTTTGATTGTCAATTCTGTTGTAGGAAAATGAAAACAAATACCCTGTTTATTATGTGTAGAAGTAAATTTTAAATGAAAGAGCATTATTGTAACTAATTTCCCCATTATAAATAAACACTTTTCACAAATATATAACAAGGATATACCAATTATCTTTCCAATGGCATCACGTACTGGTACTCCTGTACTGGTAAATAGGAATCGGCATGGGTCGCCCTCTTTCTCGAACTCTATAGATGTTTTTTACTCAAAAAGACACTTTAAATGCCATTTTTAAGCATCAGCAGTCAGATAGTTACTTTTACACCCAGAGGGTTGCAGCCCTTAATGGACTAAACCTAATCAAAGTAGATTATATGATAACGATAAACTAAAAAAAATATGGGTTTTCCCTTATATAAAAATGCAAAAAAGAATTATTTGGTAATTACATTTAAAAGAAAACAAAATTTTTGAGGAGGACATTCCTCCCTTCTTTCTCCGGAATGTGTTAGTGGTTTCAAATATTTCCATATGCTCATGCAAAATTTTGCTTTTGAGTCCAATAGAACCTTAATCTTCCGAGGCCATGACCATAACATATTAGTCCTTAATTATGTAGATTATTTGGGTGAGTAGAAGAGCATATCTTTTAGCAAATAGTACAAATTGAGAGTACCTCTACATATTTTGCTATAAATGAAGCTCAGAGGATATTTTAATTGTAGGCTTATGCACTTCTTTATTAAAGGCGAAACTTGGGCCATAAGACTTGCTCTTTTGCCTGTGGAATAGATGCACTTAGGATATCTATGTGTAGTTTTTTCTCTCTCATTTTCATCTGCTGTTCTGACAATGTTTCTTGTTCCTATTACAAAATAAAACCATTCACTGAAGGAGAATACATAAAAGTTTGGAGAGATGAATTACATTAATGTACTGGGAGCAGGAAATGGGACTCCCATGATCTATTGCAGACGTCTTGATTCTTTGGTTGCTCCTGCCTGTGGCTAAGCTAACATTAGCCAGATGAAGTCCAAAAAATTCAATCGTCATCTTTACAGCTTTATTCACGCCCTCTAGTTAATGTAGCTACATTGCTTCATTTTGGACTTCAGCGATAACATACAGGATAGAACAAATTCAAAACTTGCAATTGATACCATTTCCTATACAATTTCTTGATTAAAATTGCATAAAATGATTATTTAATTTTTATGTAGGAGGGTTGTATAGTAAGACTAACTATTGCAATAGAGTGAGGAACAAGTAGAACTTACTACACTGGTATAGTTAAACAGGTAGTCTTTTTATGTTCAGGTTAAGAAAATGCAGGACAGAGTTCAGAAATCAAAAGAAGAGGTCCAGAAGGCTAAAGAGAAATACGAGGCTGCTCTTGATGAAATAAATGCTTACAATCCAAAATACATGGAAGATATGACTGTTGTGTTTGAAAAGTGCCAAGAAGTGGAAGCACAGCGATTACACTTCTTCAAGGAGATTATGTTTGGCATTCACAAGTGCCTCAATGTGTCTCAGGACCCAGTGTGAGTTCCTAAAGTCATCTTATCTTACTCCACTACTTTCTTTTCACTCTTCATTATCTTTTTCTACACTATCATCTTTCTATTTCTTCTTCTTCTTCTCCTCCTCCTCTCTAGTCTTCTTTTCCCTCTTATTGTTCTGCATCTTCTTCCTCTTATTCTTCTGCCTCCTCCTCCTCTTATTCTTCTGCCTCTTCTGCATCTTCTTCCTCTTATTCTTCTGCCTCTTCTGCATCTTCTTCCTCTTATTCTTCTGCCTCTTCTCCTTCTTCCTGTTAATAATTATCACAAATCAAAAAGGTTTCATTAAGTTGTCATAGGTATTCATTTCATATATACAGCTTTATTAATTTGATGTATTTAATAAGATTGTAGTTCTAGTTTGAATGGACACAGTCTTTTTTCAATTTTAAGATGCAAACGTGTGATCTGCAATTTAATAAGAGTTAAGAATTGCTATTGTAAAATTACTGTATGAATTAATGCCTCTTAAAAATTCTTTGTAGGCTTCCTCAAATCTATGAAGAATTCTACCACACAATCAACAATGCTGACCATGAGAAAGACCTCAAGTGGTGGTCCAATACGCATGGGGTTAACATGGCAATGAATTGGCCTTATTTTGAAGTGAGTCACTTTCACCTTCTGAGCTTGCTTGTGTGTGCATATAGCTAAGTCTCTTGCATGCTGATATTGCATTTGTGTGTCCATTTTCAATGCGGTAGAACATAGGGTTGGAAAGAAAATATACCTTGCTGTATTAATGAAGGCTTTATTTTTAATTTTGAGTGAATTATTTGAAACATTAACTGAATTTGAATATGTGAAGACGTGAAAGATAAAATGTGTTTGTCTTATAAATGCTAAATATTTAAAACTGTACATGTATTTCATTTACATCGTAATTCTTAATATAATATTGCTGTTTCTTTCCAGTCGCATACTAATTTACTTGCCATTGTAGAGAAATATAATTAAAACACGTAATGGAGTTCATTGTTTCATAGATATTTGTAAATTTAGGTATTTATTTAGAAAACTTTTTTATGTGTATGGCAAGTTACCTGTGACAGTGTTCTCTGCAAAAGCTTTTGTGTACATTGCATATTGCTTTATTCTTAAAAGCACCAGAGATCATGTTGCAATTTCACTAGTATAGAAATGAACGTTTCAGGCTCAGCATTAGGTAAAATTATCAAATAGATTTGCAATGAATGGTTTGGACATTGTATCATGAGTACCATAATCACAACTTTATATTCTTATACATGTTCTTCTTCATAGATCATTAAAATGAGACTATTGATACAGTTTGAGTTAAAATTCACATATCTTTCTATTTTGCCTAACAACTGGAACTTGTGAACAAATATCCTGCAAACAATACCAAATTCACTTTGACTGAGTAATAATAAAGCTACTATTCCCCTACACAATACACATGTTTTAGAGCCATAAATCAATGCATTGTTCTCTTTTCTTACTTAAAGAATGTTTGTTTTCCTTAAAAGAGGAAAACTAATAGTTTGATCTGACATGTGAAGAAGTTTATTTATTTAGTAAGCAAAGTTTCTGCAGAGGAGAAGGGAAGGAGAATCTCTTGGAGGCAAAATCTGCAACTCAAGAGAGAAGGCGTAAGTGATAAGAAATTGAAGAGAAGAATTTGGAAAGCAGTCTGATGATGGGATATTTTGTAGGAGTTAAAGCAATTCTAAATAGCTAACTTTTAAAAATATGTATTACTTTTTACTATTTTGTTATTTCCAGTCACATGTTTTTTAAACCAGAAGTAATGAGTATTTTGTCTTGAGTTAGTGTTGTGTATTTTGGATTATTTTTTATTGTGATGTTGTATGACTTTTATGTTTGAAACGAGTCACTTTTTTGTTTTATATTAAAATCAAATTATCAACATAATAGACTTTGCTGTTCATAGATCAAACATAATACGAGTTAATAAAATCACATTAATTACTTCTGAACCATGGAAAGTTTTGAGTCAAATAACTCCTGGAGTTGTGGAAGCCCAGAACCTATAGAAATATACATATTTTTTTGGGAATGGCTCTTTGCGTATTAACAGTTTCTAAATTAAATTATTGCAAATTTTGAGATGCATTAATTCTTATAAGTTAGAAGTTAAAACTAAGAAATTTTTAAGTCCAACAGTTTTTTCAAAGGGCAATTATTGTTTCTTTCTATCTAGAATATCAAAGTTCTTTTGAGAAACAATATTTTATACATAAAAATTATTAAAGATAACATATTTATTATTTCATATTTCTTAAAAATTGCTAACCTGTTGTTCCAGTCAGTTGTGCCATTTCTGTAGAGTTGTGTTGGAGTATGTTATGTTGATAATTTGGTGACATTTGATGCTGCATGTGAGCCATTGTAGTGACATTGACTGCGTGCATGTGTCCCACAGGAATACACTGAGGAGTTCAGGGACATAGCGAAGGGCAAGTCTAAGGAAGCGATCCCTATGGGGATAACTCTGATCAACCAGCGACCTGTTGGAGAGGACTTGCATGTAAACCCCTTTTTTGTTTGCTTAAATTCTTATTTCTTTAGCTTTGCTGTAAAAAGATTGATTTGTTTTAATTATACTATTCATCTTCACTATTCATTGGAGAAGAAAGACTGAAATATGTGTCTGTTCGACTCAAAAAATGTTTCTTCAGAATGCAGAAAAGCTGTAAAAAGCATCAAAATTGCATGTGTTGTGCATAAAATTCATTGCTGAGAAATGAGAATTCTTTGTATAAGACTGCTTATTTTGTTTTGTTGAGTGTGTGAGTGTCATGTGCAATATAATTTTGATGTTTTCAGCAAAGTTCACACAAAGCTTTGTAGAAATTTGCTGATTATTGTATATTGTGATTGTCACGAGAACAAAGCATGGTCATTGATTTCTACACATTTCAGATTTTGCAACTTTGTACTGTAAAAAATTTTTGAATTGTGATGAAGTCTTGTTTACTTAAAAGCCATTTAGATTTGTTTTTTATTTAATTTAGTGCAGATTACTGTATTAATGTGAAGACCAAAAAAAAAAAAAATTCAGTTTCTCAGATACTTTTAAAAGCATTGGAAAAATTTGTTTGGTGACTGCACCCTAGCTTCAAAAGGGTTTAATTAAAGATTATTCTCTCTTTGTTTGAAATAATGCACCATTTATTCATGAAATAGTTAAAGTAATTAGACGTATTTGATTGAAATAGAATACTGTAATTAGAATTTTGTTTTGAAACATAGTGTTTAATAGTCTTTACTCGATACAGGAATATCCACCACCGAATAATAAAACAGCAAAGAAACCAGCAGCTTCTACTGGTCGTGTTATTTCTGATGTAACACAAGAAAGCAAAACGGAAGCTAATAATTCTTCAAAACCTAAGGACAAACCTGACACTGCAAATAGAAGTTCAACTATAACGTAAGTATACTATTACATTTCATTAAGAATCTTTGTGAACCTCTTTGTAGAAGTGGAACAATTTTTCTTTTTATGGGTAGTCCTGAAATTAATTTTAGAATTGGAACTAATCTGCAACTTATTGTATGATGTAATAAAGAAAAGACGAGAAACCTCTACGAATCCCCCATCGACTAACATAAAAATGGGTATGAAAGAATAACAAAAGTTGAGGGTTCCTTAGTGCTCAGAAGCAAAGAAAGTGAATATGACAGAAAATACATTTGGTGTGAATGCAAAAATTGTTAAATTACATGTAGTAATATTGGTCAGACCCTGAAAAATAATTTACTTACGATGAAATTGGAATAAACATTATTTCTGTAGTATAATTCAAGACAAAATGATTCTGTAAAATAATCTATTCTTTCTAATTTTTTTTTCCAACTTCAGATCTAGGATTAATTATGAAAATGATGGGTGTGATAGATTTTGAATTAGATATTGATTATTTTGCATGAGTAATTTTCTCATTATGGACAAAATGCATGCAGTGCAGGCAATCTAAGAGACCTGAATAAGAGAAACTAACAACAAACTAAGTAAAACAATCTAATGTTCAAGGAAATTTTCTTGATCTTTTATAGAAGTACAGTTAAGTTAGGGAATGAAAGTTCATGCTTTTTCTTACAGATAGTCAGTTATGTGACCCATGTAGGAACTGTCGGTACTCTGAGATTTTCAATGTGTTGAAAGCTATTCCGCTGACAGATGTTCAGAGAAGATTCAATTCTGTGAGGAAATAATCTTAACAACAAGCAGTGAAGTAAACTTCGTAAACAAAATTATTAGATATGACATAATTCCGAAGAATGTAAAGTAATATAGTTGCCAAAATTAATGAAATGTTGTAAAGCATTAGTTGTGCTTATTACATTGTCTGTTGATATTTTATTAATATCTGGAATGAGTATTGGTCACTTAGTGCAGATGGTTGTTCAGAATGTTCCATTCTATTTGTATTTGAACAAAAATTCTACAATTAATTGAAGAGGTCTTAGAAATGGTCATAAATCTCAATTTTGAGTTTCTCAAGATATGGATACAATGAGTCCTCTTCTCAGTGGTCCAAAATTGAATAAATTGGTCACAAGATCATCTTGAAAAGTTGTTAAAAAGTAATTGAATTTTTACTTGTGTTTTGACTGTTCAAAAACATCTTTAAGTTTTTTACTGTACCTGATTTTCAAATGGCGGCCATTTTTGTTGTATGCCGTGAGCCATTTTTATGTTTGTAGACATTTGCTCTTTTCTAAATTACTCAGCTTTGGGATATTCTAATATTTTAGAATAAATAAAGCATTGGTTCGGTACACTGTGGCCAACAAATAGAAATATTATTTACGTACCTTCTATGTTTTTATTTGGGAAGTATTTGCAACGAAATCTATGGAATGCAAATGAACAAAATTTGATTTTCAGAAAGTATTTTATCAAAGAAGGAATAGAATCATATCCTTTAGTCTTTCTGTGCTTTTACGCAGAACAGTAATAGTTACTTTTATAAAATATCATTGGTGAATAACATACCACTTGAAAATTATTTCCTTTTTACGTGGCAAATTTATACACAAAAAAAATAAACAAAATGCTGAATTTATTAATCTGTTATATTTTATAAACAATTTTTATATTAACTGGTTCATCTTCCAACATCAAGATGACCATAATTACAAATGTAGATGTCAAGATGTAAGTTTGTTGTAAAGTAAAGAATACATCATATTGAAAATTATATATTATGCCACTTTTATTAATATATAAATTACAATTAAGAAAAAAAATACTTAGTGTCAACTCAAAGAGTTCAGTTGAAATAAAATGAAGTGAAATAAAGAAGTAATGACAATAAAGCTTGATATAACAGTGATCTAGCATGTGCGCAATTTTCATATTTTTATCTCTCCCCCCCCAACAGATATAACAGTTGAAAATTTGGAAAAAAGATCCAAAATTACAATTTTTAAGAGATTGTAATTTTCAAGTGGTATGTTATTTGCCAATAATATTTTACAAAAAGTAACTATACTGTTATGTGTAAAAGTTCTGAACATATTATGGCTGTAGTTCTATTCCTTCTTTGATAAAATTACTCTCTGGAAATCGAATTTCATTCATTTGTTTTCCATAGATTTGGTTGCAAATATTTCCCAAAAACATATAGAAGGTATATAAATAATACAACCCAAATCTAAGAAGTATAGAAACAAGTAAGTAACTACAAATGTGAAAAATTGCGTAAAACAAGAATGGCTGTCATTTGTGAACCAGGTAAAAAAAAATATGTTTTTGAACAGTCAAAACATGGAAATTTATGTACAAAATATAAATTTTTTTGGAGATGGCCGAGCGGCCGGTGCTGAACTACTGAAAAAGAATTGACTCAACAGCTTCCCTTTTGCTTTTAAGGATTTATCTTAATAGAAGCAGGGTGAAAGTGTGGAACTTTATTGCATTATGAATCAAGCAACATTTGTTCATTTTATGATGAATTCACTTGGATTTGTTTGGAGTCAAAATTTTTCTCATTTCTTATGTAGGTCAACTAATTTCTGTCTGGCTCTTGCATCAAGGCTTCACAACGGTAAGAGTTTTTTGGGAAATGGCTTCATCTTCCTGTACTGCCACAAGTGCAAGTTACTTCTCTTTCTGGCCAATTAATTTAGGAGTAGGGTTTTTGATTCATTTTTAGTAGCTTTTATTAACTGTGTATTTATGTCCTTATTCTTCATTTGCTTTAAACCTTATCATTGTGAAGCACTCCTTTTAGATATATTTTTAGGTATATTGACCTGACAAAATTTGTTATACTTTTAGATACATATATGAACATGGCAGTGTCTTGTGACCTGTAACTGCCTTTCAACAAGCTTGAACTCTTATTGAACCTTTCTTAACTTCAGTGCTTATATTCTGCTTTGGAGAAGTTAAATAAAACTCTTGTAATAGTTTCAACAGGAAATACATGCAGGGATATTCTAGTGAGTTGTGCTGGGAAACATGACTTGAATGGAGAGGAATAGAATGAATGAATGAATCAAGGTGAAAGAGTAGTGAGTGGATAGTAGATTGTCAGCAGCTATCTCAGCAATTTAAGTGCTCCTTCTAGGCATATGCTGGCATATCATCCCAACCTGGTGTGTACTGAAGTAGCAAAATTAGTAGGTCGTAAAAATTAATGAAGGAATGTATCCTTGTTAAATAACTGCTTGAAATGCTGAGGGGAAATGGTTGTCATATTTGGTGGCTGATAATGAATGTGGTTTCTCATGAAACATTTTTGAATAGCTCAAAATAATTTATCTGTAATGTTCTGGATTATTGGGAATGAAAAATCCAATCCTTAACTTATAAGAATAGTTTATAAATGTAATCATTTCTGCATCATTTATTTCCCTTAAATGAAAATGTTGGGTGATATTTTCTATGATTTGAATTTGTATGTAATTAATTTCTCTTTCTAAGGGAGTGCTTCTGCTCATTGGAGCATTCTAGAATATTTTAAGCTATATGTTAAAGCTATAGATTGTGGATATCCTAACATCAAGTGAAGACACACCACTGGAAAGCTTAGGAGGAAATGTGCATATTTGCTACACTAACTGGCAGTATATCTTTGTTCTTACAAAACTATCTAGGAATTTCATGATTGAAAACGTGTTGACCGACAAAGAGTTTCTATTATTTCAGACTCACTAATTCAGTTATGAAATTCTGGATGCTTCATAGTCATCCTGAAGAATCTCTGAGTAGATAAATACTTAATTGCATATTTTAATATATTGTTTTGAATTCAGGCCTTTCTCATTGTTATTGCCGTTAATGAACTCTTCAAGAATCTACTGTTAGATGACATTTTTTCATTGATAAAATAGTTAATTAATTTTCTAACTTCTTTGTCAACTAGCCTTTTCTCAAACTGGTGCTTTTGAACCCTTTTCAAATTGATGCTCTATAAAAATGTATTTTTAACTCCTGCTGTACTTCCACATTCTTCTTAAATAGAAGATCTTGTTATTAAACCAAACATTTGAAATTGTATGACACCAATGAAATTTAATGTGAGAAAAATATGACAAGAGAATGAAGAATAATTTACATTTTATAATTTATTATTTAAGTGCTACAAGGGGAAAGTACGACGAATTGTGTTCCCGATTTTTGAAGTGTTGGATATAGCTTTTTATTAGTTTTGCTTTCATTTTTTTTCCACTATGCACCTACAATTTTGTCTTAATACACTAATGTTCCCTGGCATTACAGAGGGCTGCAAAAGTAATTTTCAATGACTTGGCCATTGTCTTAGAAGATTCTTTACTTAAATTTCTGATTTAAGTAAGCTTTTATTTCAATTAAAAAAAAAAAAAAGTTATTTTTTTTACCTTCTTTACCTTTGTGAAATGTATTTTAAACATTTTTTATTTGTTATGAATAATTTCTTTCGTATGTGTATTAGATTTGAAGATAATGGTTAAGCCATTGAAAGCTGCTTCTCTTGTAATGAAAATATTGTAAAAACTCAAATTGAAATACTAACTCCACGTCATCAATATACCAATTTTCCAATATACCAAGTAGTGAGTTTGTTGTCATGAAGTGATGTCTTGTTTCAGGAATGGTACGAGGCAAGAAGCCAATCCTTTTGAGGAGGAGGAATGGGATGAAGAGGGCGGGGAGGCGTTAGTGGACAACGGAGAGCCTGGTGTTCCAGTCAAGGCCCTCTACGACTACGAGGGTGCAGAGTCAGACGAGCTCAGTTTTAAACAAGGTGAGATAGAGGGAGAAAAGAAAAGGGGAAAAAAAAAAAAATGTTTTCAAGCTCACTGAAGAGATCATGAGCTGTGTGAAGAATGCCTACCTGCCTGGCTGTCTGTACTTGGTGCAACAGCCCGCAAACAGGCCAGGCCTTACCCACAGCGTCCTGGCCTCGCTGCCATGGGTTAAGTAGTACATGTGCTTAGCATGAAGATTCCCATGCTGCATTCTGGTCTTCTCAATCTGAGAAGTGAATTTTCTCATCATCGCACAGCAACATATATTGGGACTGTTGCCACATTGATCGCTAAATTGCTTCAAACTTGGCGCCTTGTTTTTTAATAGGGCATTTTTGATGTTCTTTGAAGGCGTTTCAGAGAAAGGATTATACATTTCAAAATTGGTGCTTCGGAGTCTTAATTTTTCTCAAAAATGCTGTGCGAATTTCTTCTCTGTTGACCAAATACTCATTTCTTTCGTACAAAGTTCCGTGACATAGATTGTCAGCTGCTTCCTGTTAGTTCGGAGTGTCACCAAAAGATCGCATCAGCTCCTGGGCAGCTCCTCTTTCAACCCATATGGAGCATTGTCAAAAATTCTGAGAATCCAGCGATTTCCATTTTAGACGCCATGAGCTCGCATTGTCATCAGAGGTGAAGTACAGAAAGCTTAGTAAGCACGTTTTGAACGCCTTCAAGGTTAGATTCAGGGTGTGCCAGGCACTGGATGCAGTTGTAACATGAAGTAAAAACGACAAAATTCATAAAGAAACGTTTAATTTCGTTTGGACAGAGGTAACTGTGACAATTTCTTCAATACTCGTTAATTCTTTCTCCAAGTAACAATCTTTGTAAATTGTGCCTCGTCTCTTTTCCAAAACACTCTTGTCTGACAAAAAACTACTGATAGAAGTGGCGATGTTTCGTTCCAACTTGCTAATTGCTCTCCCAACTTTTTCTTAGAGTATTTCACTGCCTCAACGGGGATTGTGCAAGGAAAATACACACTACAATCTTGCTCTACCAGGAATCAAACAGCAAGGGCATGTGGAGAATGCATTTGACAACAATATATGTAATGTTAGAGGAGAACAAAACTTACATTTAGCTACCAAAGTAAAGGACTTGCATTTCGGTGATAAATGCAGGGAATTGGTTAAAACATTGATTAGGGGTAATTGGCCTCTGTTGAACCTTTCAATAGTTGTTAAATTATTATTCAGTAAAATTATTTTTTATCATGCCTTGTGTGAAATACAGTTTCACATGCTTGTTTGCCATGTTCAAAACAGATGTTATTTCGTTCTATCTAATACTTTACGAAACATTAAGGGTCGTCCATAAAGTACTTAAAACAAATGTAGGTGGAGGTTGTTGGAGGCAACAATACACTGTATTACTTATGAAGAGGGGGGTATGTCAGTGTGATGTAACTTTATTAATTAAATCTTTTAGATTACGAAGAAGACATTCAAAGTTTATCTCTTGTGTATTCTAGAATCCAATTGAGTTAGAACTGAAGACTCTCACTCTATATCATCCACAACAGCATCTGCATCTGCTTGGCTTGTTTACTGGGTTGTTGTTATTGGTCTTTTGTTTTTGGCCTATCCATCCTTTCTTTTGTCAGTCATTAGGAAACTGCGAAACCTCGTGTAGATTTTGAAGAGTGTCCGTAGACTGTAATACAGCCCTCTGGTGAGGAAACTAGGAAGCAACAATCTTCTTCCAGAAGACCGGGCAGTTGAGCCTGGCCATTACCACCTTATACAGACGATCCGAAGGGTCAGCATCCACCTCGTTGCTTAGCTTTCTCCAGCAGCGATCCTTGCTTATCTTAATGGCTTTTGTGAAAGCTCTTCTGGCGGCCATGTGTCTCTCCTTAAGTGTGTCATAATTTGGGCGACTCTGTCCGCGTTCCTCCATCTGCGAAACTGGTAGCAATACTGCGAGTTCCACGAACTCGTCAGTCCACCAATACACTGGAGGACGGCGTTCTTTCAAGAGGCTTTTCGTCATTGACGCATCATCAAATGCCTGGCTCATTACAGTTCCCACCGTATCTTCAGAGTTTCCATCCAGCATAACATTGCCCTTCATCATGGCAGCAAAAGAATCACGATCAAATGACTTGTGGTTCCAAGTTGCTCTTCTATCCTTTTTCAGAACTCAACATACATTTCTCCATGACTTCATACACAATAGCTTGGTAGTTGCTATGTGTATAATCGCTAACCTTCCACACCGTAATCGTCTAGCTAGGCTATCACACGGGAATGTCAAGTCAACTATGGAACTGCGACCATTCATGACAAAAGTAGAGCTGTTACCAGAGTTGCAGAGGTAGATGTCTAACTGGGCAAGACTCGTCCCATGTTGGTACTCCACTCAATCCACTCAATGGTCAATGGTACTCCACTCAATGGCCAATGCATTAAAATCCCCGCCAACGCCTTCTGGAAATAGGAACAGTTATAGCTACCAGTTGCATGCATCTCTCTATCTTTTCCTTGATGGAAGTAACAGTTAGGGGGCTTAATGCAGGTCTCAACAAATTCCCTCCCTTACCACAGCAATGGCAATTTGTGGACCTATCAGGCCCTTTATAATTTCACGCCAGGTTCCCAAAAGCCCAACCCTTGTAACACCCGGTAACAATTATCTTCTCCCGACACCGGACCCAGCCAATCCGAATTTTATTGATTCGAACGGCTTTCCTGGCAATATCTGCTGAAAATGCAATTACGGCCATTTGGGTGCCACCATATTCGGTGCGAATGGACTTAACTATTACTTTCCTACCCTTGGCTCCCTCCAGCTGTCTCTCAAAGGGCCTTGAGAATTTCTTTGCCATGACTTCATCCAAATCTTTAATCTCCAAGAGAGCCTCACTTGACACTGTCTTTATGTCCGCTTTTCCTTGCAGTTGATCAGCTACTATGATCTGAAATTGCGCTGCTACAGCTCCCATGTACAAAAGCAGGTTCAGTTGGGTTTTCTTTTACAGGAAAGTTTATTTCACTGGTATTCTCAAACACTGGTGATTCAGATTGTTTACCAATTTCTCAATATTGTAAAGAAAATGAAACCTCTTGAATTTGAGAAGATTTATCAATTGAATCATTTGGTACATTACTACTCTCCTACAAATACTGTATTTAGTACACAAGAGTAATGGATATAAAAATGATATTATAAAGCCTCTTGCATGATTTTTGTTATGAAAGAGAAACATCATTTTGCAAAAATATTAAATCAGAGAAGAAATTTAAATATTTCCGTTTGTTTCAAACGGAGAATATTGCATACTTTCTGAAAGTCTATTTTTAACTTGAACCACCAATTTGGGCATCAAAAGTAGCTAATTCATCTATGCTAAGACAAATCTAGTATTTAAAATAATAATCATATCATCTTCTAGGAATGTTTGAACAGTTATCTAGTGAAGTAGAAACGAATCCTGTATGTGATAAGATTGCTGTAGTTTAATATTTCATTTAATTGGTAATTATGTTTCTTATCAGTCAAACAGTATAATCTGAAATGTAAATCACTTTTTCTTTTTATATTGCAGGTGATGTTTTTGAAAAACTAGAAGATGAAGATGAACAGGGGTGGTGCAAGGGAAGAAAAGACGGACGTGTGGGACTGTACCCTGCAAATTATGTTGAATTAGTGGCTCAGTAATTAAATATCTGTGACTGAAATTTGTGATGTGTTTCCTTGTTGGATGTCGTAGCCCAGTTACTATGCAAAATGAACAGAGATGACCAGTAATGATTAATACTCACAAAAGAAGGATTGCAATCTTTCTGTATACGTATGTACATTATGAGTAAATGTAAGTTGGAGAATGTGGAGAAGTGAGGAACAACACCCAGGATGTAGTTTTAGATTGACCTGTCTTCCGATTTTGCTCACCCTTCTTCCATTCAACATTCAGGTCTAGGTACAATGGGAGATTGTCTCAACTAAAACACCTCACCCACACTGAAAATATCAACATTGACTTGTGGGCGTGAACGTATTATCATAAGTTAGATCTTAGAGTTGACAATGCGTGTGGAGAGAAACGAACATTTGAGATCAACAATAACACAAGAAGTTCAGACTTTATATGTATATAATATGTATGATTTGTGTGTTTCTTGCCATAAGAGAGTTATTTTCAACCAAGTTTGTTTTTAATTTTTCATCAAAAGAATTTATTGGAATGAGGTTTTTTTATTTGTAAAAATACACACTAGCACATACAAGTGTGATTTTCTTCCTGATAATGTTAATTTGAAAATTTAAAGAGTTGTTAACTTTAATGTCATATCTATTTATAACATTTGTGTATATTTAAAGCATCATGAATGAATAGCATGGCGACAAGCTTTTGCATTTACATTCTGGTTTCTTTTTGGATGAGGCCTAACACTGACTAAATAGTTCCTGTGGAATTAGAAATAACACACAGGAAATGCTGAAGTATGATTTCGGAACCTTCCTTTGTCAACTTTGTGTGGTAGGGTCATATACTGCAAATAGCCCTGCACTAAAGACTATGGTCATCTCGTTTATGTAGAAATTGTTCCACATGTTCATTTTGCAGCTTGGGTTTAACAAGGATTAAAAAGTGAGAACTGTGAAAAGCAAGTGAGAAAGAAGTGTGTTTGCTAAGAGACACTCATGTTAAAGTATTGTATTAAATAAAATTCCTACATTAATGAAGAACTGAGGAAAGCTCCTTGTGTTCTTGCATCAGTGTTTGATACTGCTACGTACCAGTTTTTAGTACCAATCTACTCTACACAGGATCACTGTGCTATCGAGTTGAGATGTTCCCTAGATTGAAATTTTATTTAAATGCACTGCTGTGTTCAGCGTCTTTGGTTTTGTAGAACTTGTCTGTAACATATAAGTACTCTTAATAGTTTTCTTCTGTATTTATTATTTGACAAAACAAGTAATTGAAACATCTACCATGTTATATGTTTCTATATATAAATATACTTCACATATATAAAAGAAAGCAAGACTGTACATATAATTCTGTCTAATAGCAATTAGTTCTCTTCAATTACTTGTTTTGTTGAATCAAGTATTATTCTACTAACTTTTGCTGTACATTATCTCTTGTTTTATGTATTTTTTGATTTTATGGATTTTTTTATGGGAATGTAAATGAAGTGGTAATAGTTCATTGCATGATGTAGTAGGAAAATTGACGTACCGTTACACTATATTTAATGTACATTTTCCCCTGTCTCTGTCTCTTTACCTCTGAATACTGTATTTCTGAAAAGCTAATGAATGTTTGTATTTTGAGAAATGTAAATTCTCTAGAGTACTTCTTCAGCAACTTGATAGCAGTGAAGTTTGTGTTGATGCAATAATGTAGGAAGAGGGGACTTGTAGTTATGTACAAAACTCAATAACAAAGTCATGGCTAAATTTTATTATTTTTGTTATATACCTTATTGTTCTTTTAATTGCCTCTCCTGTAGTGGTATTGTTTTGCATATTTCAAGTCTAAATCAGACAGCAAATGTAGCTTGGTAGTCTAGAAGAGGGTTGTCTCAATACTAATAAAAAAAAATCTTGTTTGGCTCTCACAGCAACATTCAAATTCTAAACGTTTGATAAAAAAATTATGCATTCATCCATGATCATGATGTGGATAATAATCATTTCATCCACAAATATCTACGAAAACAATGCAAAAACTTGTTTTAAATATTAGATTGTTTTTATGATGGCAGATGATAACATCTCAAGGCGAAAGACTTATTTCTTTTCTAGTCACAATATTGTTGTCCACAAAAACTATAAAAACATTTAAGGAAAGCATTTTCTCTCGTTACCTAAATGGATTTGTTATATTTAATTAAAATTTTATTACTTACATTTACAAACTGTGGTGGGTAAGTATAAAACTAGTTTCATTGTATTTCGTATCTGTTCTGTCAATGGCTACCCTAATCTAGACCACTAAAGTTGTCACATAAGGTTAGCATTTTTGTGACATATTTGTAATGCATGTTACATTACTATTGTATATAGTATTCAAACGATTCGTATTAATAAATGACCACATAGCATGTTAAATCCCAAGAAAGCTGCATATTTCATTGACATGCTTCAGCATAAATATATTTTGACTAAGTGCTTTATTAGCCGAGAATTAATTACTAAAGTAAGAAAATTTGTATTGAATCCTCTATGTATGAATCAAGAAATTTATGTGAGTTTAGGGATTTCAGAATACCAGGAAATAGAACTATATTTCTATATTGATGGTACATTCCATCAACTGACTTTATTTTTACATCTTTCTAGATATTGCTGTATTTCTCTTAAGCCATGGAGTAAACCACTATGCTGTGTCTTTATAGATCCCAAACACCATGTGTGGTGGTAAAGGCATTGAAATTATATTCACCACAATGAAGTGTTCAACTTTTGTTTCAATATGGAAATTGTTATATATAATTAGACTGCTTCTGATATACTAATGTTTGTTAAAATAATATTTGTGGTACAAAATCATTTATTTCTCAACCAACAATCGAAATATTTTGACAGTAAGATAACTTAGTGAAATTTAAATGAAGTGGCAGCTCTGTTAATGGCCAATCAGGGCCATTTCAACATTAAATATTTATTTACACTAAATATTAGAAAGTGGTAGAAATATTGAGATTGATTGGTTGGAAAAATGATTATTGATTTCAATTAAGAATCTGTGATGGAAATAAAAATTGTTGTGTTTAAAATTTTTGCAGGCTGTATGCATTGGTTGTGCAAGATTTTATAATAGTATATTTAATTTTTCATGAGTATTGCAAAATACACATATGTTCTTCAAAGCTTGTAAATATATTTAAACAATAAGTACACCTTGCACACATACGATGGGAAAGAAAATTGACGAAAAGGATATGAAAATGTGATTCTTGAAGCAAATGATACTTTTTAGGTACCTTTCTTTTCTTTTATTATTTTTTTCTTGTTAGAAGGTATGTAACAACAAATTTGCGTTTTTCTCAAGCAGATATTTTTTAACTTGCAAGATCATGGAAGCAAGTTAGAGCAAGATATACACTAGTGGATAGAGAGTCCATTCAAAAATAATTATTTACAACGCATTTGCGAGAGACACAAATGCAAAATAGGGTCTCATATGTAGGGTTTTAAGTAATTACATGAATTCATTTTCATTTCAGGTGAGGAAAATACAATTGTTAATATGACATAAGATCTACAATAGACTAGTTTTTGTACTAGTTCCAGCAGATCACATATCGAGGGAAGGAAAAATGAAGGCATAAAATGAAGTTTATATAAATTATTTACACAATTAGCATGAGACAACATTTAAAAAGATTAACATTATAGATATTTATTTATGAGATTTTAGAGTGATAGCTAATAAGAGTCAAAACTTCGTACTCTGAGTAGTTGGTAAATTGGGCGACACCATGATGACCATGAGATTGTCATTACTGCTCAATACTTTTGCTGGCTCTTTAAGTATCCTTTTTGAATAATGTTCATAACCTTTCGTTGTGTGGCCAATACGGAAATTACTTATGCTTCTGGTAATATAAAATGACTGCACTGCAGAATTCACGAAGATATGTTCTATTTAGACCCTTGATAATAAAATTATAATAGTCTGATATAAAATGTTCAAGAGTTTGCCAAGAGAAGGATGTGGTTATCGAGTGACAAGATCTTTTGCTCAGGGGAAATGTTGCACTCAAAATGAAGAGGTTTTGAAAATAAAACATTTGTTTATTCTTAAATCCATAAAAAAATGCATGACTTCTGTTCAGTGTGTGCTATGTGTTAGATGAAATATAGTGGTAAAGAGAAAATAAGCTACTATTAATATACTAATATTATTGAAAAAATTGAATTGATCCTTTTAACATTTACCCAGGGTCGGAATTAGATACTGTGAGGACTATCATTTCATTATTGTACTAGGGCACACCTTCAGAAAAATATCTTTCACGGTTATAAAAAAGCTTTAATTCTGAAAGAATAGTAATTTACATCATAAGGCAAGAAAGTCTACCTTTTCATGATGAGACTGGCGAATTCATCTGCTGAGGCTGGCAGGCCAATCTTAATATGCAAGATAATTTGGAAGTATGGAAACTCTGATCAGTATATTAGTTGCAGCTAGAGTAGCAACTTTTGACATGTTTGCATTAAAAGCAAAAGATAGATATGTGAAACAATGGGGTATATTGTTTGGGCGAGAGGGATAAGAAGTGTCACAGAAAATGTGCTTTTCCCATTCTTTTCCAAAATGAGTGGAAAGTACCATCAAAGAGGTCTTTTAATAAATTATTTTATTATCATTAATGTAAATAGTTTCAAATATAATATCAATTGATAAGTGCATGTTTTGAATACATTGAAAGCTAACTCAACATGTTTTGACACGGGACCTTTGCTACATGGCTTGCTGATAATAGTTTGTTTCTTAGCTATGATGGGGCTTGTTCCATACTCTCTGTGCCACAAGTAAGAGCGCTGTATATGTAAACAACCAAGATCTAAAACAGGTTAACTGCGAGGCAGAGCAATAGTGGAGTTGAGTACTAAACTTTTCAGGAGAGTCCTTAAAGACTAATAGAGGACGTGATACGTACAATGTTTTTTGTTATTTCTAGTTATTCAAAATAATTAACACTTTCATGAATTAAAAATTGTCATTACTATTGATGTTTTGTAGCAAGGGTTATTGGTAAAGGGTCTTAGTACTGTTTTAAATCAGAATTGCAGTGCTGGGAAGGACCAAAAGGTCTAAGGGGGACAAATGGGGGAATGAGGAACAAAATGGACAAAATTGGAAAATGGAAAGAAGGTCAAAATAGGGAAAGGGGGACAAATTAGATGAGAAAAAACGGACCGGGGACAAAATGGGACATGGTGGACGAAAGGGGATAAAAAAGAAAAAAGGGACATATTTATCTAAAGATTTATAAGTGCTAGTAAAATCTAAACCCAAAAGTCTGTTTAACTATTTTTAACAGACTTTCAAGCATTTTAATGGCCGTTGCAATGGATGCACTCTTAATGCGTGGATTGTTAGTTACTAAAGATTTTGTTGGATGATTTGGTTGCTAAAGAGCTAAGCAATGTGTTTACCCATGTAAATATCAAAAATTTCATTACATGATGCTTTCAACAGAATTGTCGAGTATTGAACACATTTCTTGCCGTAAATCAGAGTAACAATGGGCTACTTTCTAGACAGTCTCGAATAGTAACTTTTTGTATAGATACAAGTGAAAATTAACTAATTATGTAAAGAATTGAACCTATGCATTATTATTATTATTATTATTATTATTATTATTATTATTATTATTATTATTATTATTACTCTTATTACTACTACTACTACTACTACTACTACTACTACTTCTTCTTCTGGGAAATCCTCCCCCCGCTCTCCTTTAACCGTGTACTCCCACGTGTGGAACCATGGTGTAAAATTACGTTGAACGTGGGCCTGGGTGTGAGCAAGAGCTTTATCTACTACTAATCATTTCCTTCTGTTTGAGAATATTCTTTATGAAGTCTCTAATAGTGTGCAGTTTTCTTGAAATTGCAGCATAGTTTCAGTTGTATTTACAGGGGTTAATTCTAATTGCAGTTTGTTGTAGCATTTTTATGGTTTCCTCCCAAGCTTTGCAGTTATATATTGAGTGCATAGCATTATCTTCTTTGTGGGACACAGAACACGTTGGGCTTTCAGCGAATTCAAACCTATAGAGATAGTTTTTAAAAGCTTGTACTTTTTGAGAGCATGTCCTGAAAAGCTTGTGGTAAATACTAATCTATTGCCCAGTGGTTTCTACTTATCCATTCTTTGATGTTGGGAATAGGACTATTAAGTCCATTTGCCTTTTTCCTCCAAGTTCCATTGGCTTTCTCATTATACAGAAGACAGCTCTGCTATGCTATTATTTAACTGCTTTGTTAGGTGCATTTGATGATTAGCAGCTTTCAGCTGTAGGTATATTGCTTTCTTTTTTTCAGCTAGAAGATCAATAGGTATACTGCCCTGTGGGGCTGCATTGCCTGAAACAGTACAATAACCTGAAATTATCTTCAGTGCCATGCTTCTCTAAATCTATAAATATTTCCATTGTATGGACTCTTTATTTAGAGCCTCAGCCCACACCAGGGTAGCATACAACATTCTCGAGTGTACTGTGCCAGATATCAATCTCCATTTACTTTTACAGGATTCTCCTGAGTTCTGCCTAAGTCTGGAGAGGTTTTACACCAGTCTTTGCTGCCTACTTTATAATATGAGGTCCAAAGCTTAATCTCGATTCAATCTCAACACCAAGATATATTATTTGCCATTTCCTACTTCTACGCTCTTCTCCCAGTTAGATCACTGGGGGCAGTGGGGGAGATGCTCACTGAGTTGGGTTCTGTTTTCGCTATTGTCATCTGGTGGTTTCTTATATCCAACCATCTTTTCAACCTTTCATTGGTCTTCATTTCCAGTAATTCTACGTTGTCACTATGGCATATTATCAATATATCATCAGCATAACCTGTGTGTTGTGAGTTCAGTACATTTTTCAGTAGATCATCATATCATTCCACAGAAAGGGGCCCAGTTTTGACACTTGTGAGACATCACAAGTCATGTCTTCGTCTACCTTATATCCATTTGTGTATATTAGTTTCTTCTCACTGATGTAGTCCTCCAGTACCCTCACAAGGTACTCAGAAACTTTCTCAGCTACCCTGGCCCGATATGAATGTCCATCTGGCTGAGTTGAATGTGTGTTTTATGTCTATTACCACCAGAGCACAAACACATTTTTTACTTTTGGCTGTTTCAGCTTAGCACCTCCTTCGGTAATAGTGTCTATTGTCTATTGAGGCCCTTTCTAAACTCAAACTGTCTCATTAAGAAGTTTATTCTTGAAGTCATATGACTCTACCCATAGAAAGAGCGACACCCTAAGTAATTTACTCATCGTTTCGAGCAAGCACAAAGGTCTGACAATGACCTCAACTCAATTGGCTTGTTTCCTTCCCATATGAGGATTAGTCACTGTTTTTTTTTCATTATTTAAAATATTTTCCTATTTTAAGGCAGTGATTAAAGGCATCCAGTAGGCATTTGGAATAATTTTTAACCACTATACTAAGAATCCATCCGATCTGGTGCTGTTTTGGTCTTCATCATCATTCGCCCCACTTCATCCTTCATGAAGTAGCTTTGTTGAAGTGGTAGTCAGAATGTCTATTCCATACCCAGCGTTCTCTGCTAGAAATAAGATCTCTGATAAGTTACCTTCACTCACCCAGGGTCTTCCAATCCCGCAGAGTTTGATGGTTTAAATTTCCCCATAACTATTTTATAGGCTTTTCCTCAGGGGTCGTTCCCCACATCATGTCCTTCCAGCATATGGTTTGACTTCTTTGATTTCAGACTGAAGACACCTCCTATAGATCCTCCCTTTTCCTTGGTTATACATGCGTTTTGGCTGAACATATAACGATTTTTTGCGTTTCCTTTACTACCTCTTCAAGGGACTCTGCTTTTTTTCCCATCCAATATTCTGCAACAGTTTTACTTCATCAAAGAATATTATGGCCTTTTCTTTGTTTAGGTTTTGAATATTCCTTGATGATCAGATATTTGGCTGTTTCTTTCTTCCAGCTCTCGTTTCCAATGGGTGAAGTTGAAAATTCTACATAACAATGATCGCTAAGTGTCTCTTCATTAAGAACTTGCCAATTCTGAACATTCCTAGCTATCTTTGAGGTTCTATAGTCAAGTCTATTATGAAAGGTACTGCACCTCTCTGAAAGGTACACAAGCTCCTTGTGTTTAAAACCACTATATCTTTTCCTATTCTCATCCCACCCCATTCCAAAGACTTGCTGTTAAAGTCTGCAGCCACAACTATTTCTCTTGGTACTGAGTTCATGGATGCCCCCAGTTCATCTACTTGTTTCCTAAATTTGTCAATTAAGTCGTTAGGCGAGAAATGACAACTATATATTCTTTGTTGACCATATCTGCCCAAACAAGTTCTTGGTTTGTATTTTTAATTGTAGCAGATAAAAAGTCATTAGTTTATTGTAATTGAACATCTAATGCACTTTAAGTTCTAGCAACATGGACATTTAACATATTCAACTACTAAAACAGTTATACATTGTAAACAAATAAAGACTCATTGCTTCATAACTAGGGGGTGGATATTGATGACCTAAAACATTGCCAGAAATGATCTATAAAAAGTCATATATTGTAAACATGTAAGACATGTTGCTTCATAACTAGAGAGCAGATATTAATGACCTAAAACATTGCAAAAATAATATAAAATGCCCTAAAAACAAAAGAAAATGACGTAAAAAAATTGATCAAAACAAATTCAAATGAACAACTCAGTCTTTTGAATATGTTACTGATGTAATTGAGGCCTCTTTCGTTTAAGTGAACCCAGCTTGCAAACTTTTGGTTTGGTTTGGTTGAAATGTTCTTTAAAAGAAAATCTCTATCTTTATTTATCGTGAAATCGGCCGAACTCACAATGGGGCTGATAGGTGTCACAGGAACCTTGGATCACATAGTAATCACAACGGCTGACTTTACAATATATGAGCAAAGAAATCGAATAGGCTACTCAAGAAATCTGTGATGAACATTTGTTGCATCTCGTAAATATTGTTTCAAGGCAGTATCATTAAAATGATATTAAAATCAATGAAATTGCCTAAAAACGTATTAAAAATGATATTAAAATCAATGAAATCGCCTAAAAACGTATTAAAAATGATATTAAAATGTAAAAAATCACTTATTAGTTGAAATCAATGAAAAATGCAAAAAATGACCTATAAAAATGGTTCATTTTCTTTTGTGGTAACAAAATGAATTTCTGTACTAAACAGCATTGTCCTAAAGTGAAAATAAAATTAATGACATTTCATTAAAATCTGCTCCCCATTCATAGCATGTTTTATTCATTTACGAATAACATGAATTTTATAAATTCTTTCCTTTTCTTGTTACAATTTTATAAATAATCCTTCAAACCCAAACGCTCTTTATTTTTTAAA